TTTCTTCACCAGAATGCTTGAAAGTCCCCTATTTCATTAAAGAAGATTATACTCAGTTTTTCTGGGTAGGTTATTCTTGGCTGTAATCCTGGTTCTTTCGCTTCCAGAACACCATTATCCAAGCCCTCCAGTCCTTTAATGTAGAAGCTGCTATCCTGACTGTGGCTCCACGATATTTGAATTGTTTCTTTTTAGCCACTGGCAGTATTTTCTCATTGACCTGGGAAGCCTGGAATTTGACCATAATATTCTTGGGAGTTTTCATTTGGGGATCTCTTTCAGGAAGTGATTGCTGGATTCTTTCAACGTCTGTTTTACCCTCTGATTCTAAGACACCAAGGCAGTTTTACTCAATAATTTCTTGAGATATGATGTCTAGGTCTTTTTTTTTTTAAATCATGGATTTCAGGTCTTTCAATATCGCTTCAGTGTGTTTCCTTGATCTATTTTCCAGGTCAGTTGTTTTTCCAGTGAAATATTTCACATTTCTATTTTTTCATTCTTTTCATTTTGTTTGATTTGTGATGTCTCATGAAGTCATTTGGTTTCCATTTGCCCAATTCTAATTTTTAAGGAATTATTTTTTCAGTGACCTTTTGTTCCTCTATTCCCATTTGGCCAATTCTACTTTTTAAGGAGATCTTCAGTTGATTTTTGTGCCTCTTTTTCTCATTTGACCTATTCTGTTTTTTAAGGTGTCATTTTTGTCAACATTTTTAGTGCCTCTTTTACCAAGTTCTTGAATCTTTTTTTACATGATTATCTTGCATCACTTTCATTTCTTTTCCAAATTTTTCTTCTACCCTTCTTATTTCATTTTAAAAATCCTTTTTGAACTTTTTCAGGAATTCTTTTTTTTTTGCCTGAGATCAATTCATATTTTTGTTTGATGCTTTGCATGTAGCTGTTTTGACATTCTTGTCTTCTAAGTTTGTGTTTTGATCATTACTGTCACCATAGTAACTTTTGATGGTCAGGATACTTTTTTTGTTGTTGTTTGCTCATTTTCCAGCCTATTTCTTGACTTTTGATTTTATGTTAAAGATGGACTCTGCTCCTGGGATGAAGGCGGTACTGTCCCAAGCTTATATTATTTTTGTGCTAATGTTTTCAAGGCTAGTTCTGGAAACCAGCAAGTTTTCAGTTCCTTCAAGGTGGTATGATCCAAGGAAAGTGTGCTCACCTTCTCCTGGCCTGTGCTCTAGTCTGTGAGCACTCTTCTCCCCCTGGTACTGTGACTAGGGCCCTGCTCCCCTGGGCCACAAGTTCTGGTGTGCTAATGCTTGTTTTCACCCTGGGACTGCAACCTGGAAGTACTTATGGGCAATGCAACAGAGCCCTGCACCCAGTGCCAGCCAAGGATCCCTTCAAATCTCCTTCTGACCAGTTGTCTAGCCCCCTTACCTTTTATGGGCTGAGAATTCCAGAAGCTACGGTTGCCGATTCAGTCACCCCCAAGGCCTGCTGCTGGCTTGCCTGGGTGTTGCCTGTAGTGTCCTGTGCTTTACTCTTGCCCCAATGAGACAGACCTTTCTTGCTGTCCTTTCAAGTTCTCTTGGGCTGGAAAATGGTTTCACCCTATCCTTTCATTACTTCTGCTATTCCAGAATTCATTTTGAGACATTATTTTAAAGTTGTTTGTAGGGGAATTTGGGAGCACTCAGGTGAGTCCCTGACTTTACTCCTCCACGTTGGCTCCACCTAACTTAAAGGGGTAAGATTTTCTACTGAAGATATTTCTATTTCTATTCAGGAGTTTTGTATTCTGCCAACTTTTATCTATTTGTTTAACTATTTATTTTGCTGTACAGGCCATAAATTTTGCTTTCACAATTCTTATTTCCCTCTTAAACCATTTGGGAATAATCTACTTTGGTTCTATAAACTTTTGGGGGGAACCCACAGGATTCCCTGCACTATCAGCCTTAAATATTTAAAGAAAATGTTTATTAAGTGTCCCTAGTACAGCTTGATGAAAATTAATCCATGCTGTCAGGGAAGAGGGAACATGCGGGTAGAGCAAAGTATAGGCTCAACACACTTGAACTACCCAGCCGAGCATTGGAGTGCCCCTTGTGGCCTTTCTTTGTGGCTGCATTGTACTCAGGCAGTGAGGAAATGATGTCAAAAGCCTTTAGTACCGTGAACCAATCAAGTGTCAAAAATATCTCAACACCTTTTCAGGAAAAACTAGCCTGACTTGCCTGAGGGGAGAGGTTAGGATACAAGGAGACCTCATTTTATTGTGTGCCACTTTCTTGTGCTTCACAGATATTGCATTTTTTACAAATTGAAGGTTTGTAGCAACTTTGCATCAAGGAAGCCATTTTTCTAGTGGCACGGGCTCACGTGATGTCTGTGTCACATTTTGGTAATTCTCACAATATTTTAGACTTCCTCAGTATTATTATAGCTGTCATGGTGATTTGGAATCAGTGATCTTTGATGTCACTATTGTAATTGTTTGGGGCGTCATGCACCATGCCCATATGAGATGGCAAACTTAATAAATGTTGTGTGTGTTCTGATGGCTCCACCAACAGGCCATCTCTCTCTCTTCCTTGGATCCTCCTGTCCTCTGACACACAACAATGTTCAAATTAGGCCAGTTAATAACCCTACAATGACCTTTGAGTGTTCAGGTGAAAGAGTCAATTGATGGGACAAACTTCATTGTTGTCTAATTTTAAGAAATTACCACAGTCACTCCAGCCTTTACCAACCAACACCCTGCTCAGCCAGCCCCCATCAACATTGAGGCAAGACCCACAACCAGTAAAAAGATTACAACTCTCTGAAGGCTCGTTTGATGGTTAGCATTTTGTTAGCAATAAAGTATTTTTTAATTAAGGCATGTACATTGTTTTTTAGGCATAATACTGTTGCATACTTAATAGACTACAGTATAATATAAACATAACCTTTAAATGCACTGGGAAACCAAAAAATTAATGTGACACACTTAATTTCAATATTCTCTTAATCGCAGTGGTCTGGAACGGAACCCACAATATCTCCAAGGCATGCCTATATTGCTCCTACCACCCTCCACTCCTGGGTGGAAAGGTCCTTGTTAAGGTCTTCCAGATGACCTTCCACCATTAAGATGACTTTAGGGCTGTTACTGGTTAACCCTAACCACCATAATTCAAGAAAGCAGCACTAAATCAGAAAGGGGGAAAACTAAGACACAAATATAACAATATGAAACAAATGATATAACCATTCCCTGCAGGAGTGACTGAATCTGGGAGAATCTCAGGAAGGACCAGTCCTGGGTCTAAATGATCATGTGATGAATGATAGCACATCTTTCCAGTTCAGTGGGTCCTGGTATATAAAAAGGTAGCCATAAGCAGGAGCAGGACCAGCTACATCAGGGATATAGCAAAGATGACAACGCTTGTCGTGTAGTATTGATCCTCATCACAAGGCAGGGAGAATTGCCCTCATCCATTTAGTGACCTCCGCCTCCCTGGGAGCCCTATGGCATATGGCCAACGGGTGTAGTGTGGTGGCATACAGAATCTTTGCCTTATGAGAGGCCTCTGAGGGAACCATCCTCTTCTTCTGTAGGGGCTGGTTAGACATTTTCACCCTTCTCACCATTTCAAAGCAAGCTTCCTTCTATTGATCCACTAAGCCCTCCCTCTGGAAGAATGATACAATGATAGCTAGGTGCTGTATTGGCAGGAAGATGGAGAGTCCCATCAGTTTTACATTATACTAAGCAATGAGCTGTGGAGGTGGGGGGAGGCTTGCCCTTTGCCACCAAATATACCACTGAACTCTTTGGACGGTGGCCTGCCATTGCTGCTGGAGGTGATCCACTATTTGCTGCCACTGGGCCCATGTCTCTGGCCACTGCCATCTGTGCTGTTGGGGCCCGCATCTCTGCCTGCTGCTGTCTGCTGCTGCTGCTGTGGCCAGCTGGACCTGCTGTCCCCTGGCCAGCACCACTGAGGCCCTTGTCTGGGCCTGCTTCCCACCCCCCCACAGCAGGCCTGCATCTCTGCTTGTTGCCCCAGACTACTGCTGCTGGGGTTTATGTCTAGGCCTGTAGCCTTCTCTACCAGGGTTACCTGCTACCCCCTGGGCTAGCCAAGACAAGTGACAACTAGGTCCTAAGCTTTTCTTCCTTACTCTGAAATGAAGTGTTTTTGTGGGCCTGAGCACAGTTTCACTGCCACTTTTGGAGGCTGACTCTGCCTGGCCCTCCCCCGTATACTGAAGGTTGCCTTGTGACTTCCTCAGAGCCCTGAAGTGGGTGTCAGAGGTGAGTCTTCAGCCCAGGTCCTCCTGATTACAAAGCCAGCTCTCCAGTCATTACTCTATCCTGTTTCTCTCTTTTTTTTTTTTAATAAACATTTATCAAGTATCTATTATGTGCCAGGCACTGTGCTAAGCGATTCTCAAATATTAGGTATTTGAACTAGGTTTGCATTTTAAAAGAAAAAAAACAAAGGTTAATGCTGAGAGATTAGTGTGAGAGAGATATTGGGTACAGTCAAACTGAGATGAAGTGACATGAGAAAGGGTGATAGTGAGTCCACAATGGCTGAAAATCTCCCCTTACTTGTGTGGGGAGATGTACAGCCTCATACCTCCCCCTGCAGAGAAGTATTTCAACATGAGATGAGGCAGATCACTTTGCTAAGGACCCAGGAATGCAGAGTATGGAAATGACACCATTGTCTGATGGGAAAATGGAGGAAATGGACCCCGGGTGGAGACACTGCCTTTGTCACTTTCCACCTGAGCCTTAGATATAAACCCGGGGTACCAAGGGAGATTATTACAGGACTGCAAATTTTATTTTCAGGTCTCCTAAGTGCATTCACTTTTCATCCAGCATGGGAGGAACCAATGCTGCTTTGCTTGAACAAGGGGTTGAACTGTCAAGGAGAGAAGAAGAGGAATGAGCAGCCAGCCTTACAACCCCCACAGTGGAGAAGCTCTCTGTGCAGGAGTGGGGCTGGGCAGGGGCTGTGGAGTCTCACCATACGCTGCACCGTTCTCTCAGTGGAATTGAAAATGCCAGAACCTGGGTGACCCATGTCTTCTGTGAACAATAGGTTGGTGATGCTGAAGTTCAGGCTGAAAAGTTTCAGGTTGTAGTCACCAGCTGTAACAGAGGAGGGAAACAAAAGACCCAGGCCTGAGCCCTAGAAACAGCCAACATATATACCCACTGACACCCTCTTCTTGGATTCTCCTGTTCTGTCCTGGAAGGAAAACTCGTATTCCCTGGCCTCACTGACATCCATATCAAGAAATCTCTTCCCTTTCCAAACCTTCCTTGCCTATTCCTCTCCCATTGTTCTTCCATCTTCTAGTTAAACAGTATAAGACACTCCTGGTAATGCATGATGGGTGCACCCTTTGTACCTGGGGTAGTGGAGAATGGTGAGGGAGCTGAAGAGGTGTCTGGAGGGAAAGAGGCTCTCACAGGAGCTGAGGAGAAATCATGAAGAATGGAAATCATTGATAAAGACACAGTGTGAAAAATTTCAGGTTGGGGAGACAACTATTGCATGGGAGAGAAAAGTGGTCAACTTGACTTAGTCACATAATCCCTTGGGAGGATTCAAAGTAGTGTGGACTGGTGCTAAGCAACCACAGAAGGAAACAGATATTTGCGTAATGGGCTGCTACAGCAACACTCGTCAGACTGAGTGCTTTCTGTCTAGCATGCCCTATCTTTAGGTTTTGCATGGGACACATGGGCTCATTTCAAATACCTATGGGAATATATTTTCATTAGGTGTTTAATTAGCTGCCAGAAATGAATACCCTTCTATCTCTGTGTCTGTTTGTGTCTGTGTCTGTGTGTGTGTTTTGGAGGGAGGGCTTTGCAATATACATCATACCACTGTCACTCTCCCCCACCCAAGATGATAAACCAAGTCTCAGATACTGGCTTGCCCTTCTTTGCAAGTTGAGTATTTCTTAGAATGAGGTGATTTTTAAGGATTAAGGCAATTTTCCTTTTCATCATATTCTCTCCCCAACTTCCAGCTGGGACCCAGTGGACATTGCCCAGTGTAGTAATGTTGCTGAATTTCTACCTGTGGAGACTCCAGGCTCTGGGTCTATGCTGGGAGTTGTAAGTGATGATACAGTGGATGCATCCAAAGCTGTCAAAAAAATGAAGTGACATTGAAGGTGACAGAGATCATAGTGGCCTACAACTATGTGGGGTCATCCCAGTATTTATGTGGTCATTAATTCAGTGTTCCACATGTAGGAAATGCCTAATAAGGGTTTCACAAACGACTGAATGAATGTGGACAGACAGAATGTGGTTGACTTAGCTGCCTGGGTTCTCACAGGAGGAGTCTTTCCGAAAGGACATTGGCTAAAGTGCCCAGCTGGTGAACTATTAGCAGAAGTGGCATTTAGGGGTCACAAAGGACACCATCAGAAGGTCTCCTTCAGAAAGTCTCTCGTAAAGAGCTGAGGTCCACTCTTAATTCCCCCAACCATTCCACAAGAATTTCTTGCAAAGTTATCACCACGCAGCCTCAGAGAGAGGACCTGGTAAGCCCAGGAAATGAAACACTGTCTCTGCATCATGAAGGGCCAGAAGGAACCAGAGCCCATTTTCCCCACCTGGGACAATTTCTTCAAAGAATCTCAGTGCTAGAGAACCCTCAGAGTGCTTCTAGCCCTCTTCTAGAGCATTCTTCACATCTTGTGTCTTTATGATGATTTCTAGTGACGGGAAATTTGCTGTCTTAAGACAGACTTTGGGGGAGTGAGTGGAGAATTCCTTTCTAAAGACCCCAGAGCTGACTAAAGTGGAAGAAACATTAACTTTGTGGGGCTTGTCTCTAGGAGTTATGGGAGAAAAAAAGGCTTGGGACTCATTGATGACTTTATTATAGTCTTCCTGTTACCTCCTCTTTTGAACATACTCCAGTACTCAAGTATTCTGCATATATCTCATTTTTTTAAAATCCAAGCATGTGGGTTAGCTCTTTCTGCATCCTACTTCAGTCTCTCCTGACAACTCCCATTTTTCTGCATCGTTGGAACTGTTTCACCTTCTGTGTCTTCAGAAGTTCATTCTTCAGAGCTTCTTACTGTTCCTTGTATACTAGGGGGCTGAGAACTGGGTCACATGCTGAGCTTTGTAGTTCCGGGTTGTCCCCCTCACATTCCCTCACAGTCCTGAATGCAATTAATCTTTGAGTTGGCAGGGGGGTTTGAGATCAGCAGTTAGAAAGGGGGTGGAGGTGGGACAGAGGAAGGGATGGAAAGACAGAGGGAGGGGGAGGGAGAGAGGGGAGGAGGGAGGGAGAGGGAGAAGGGGGAAAGAAAGAGAAGGGAAAGAGCAAGAGGGAGAAAGTGGGGGAAAGGGGAAAGAGGGAGGGAGAGAAGAATGGGGGGGAGGGAGAGAGAGAGAGGGAGAGAGAGAGAGAGAGAGAGAGAGAGAGAGAGAGAGAGAGAGAGAGAGAGAGAGAGAGCTATGACAGGAAAAAGTAGGGAGATCCATCATTAGCCTTGTGCAGAGCTTAATGAGCTGAGCTGGAAAAAACTGGCAACCCAGGAGGAACAGGCAAAAGAAGGAACTGAAAGAAGAGATGAGACATGTCAGAGAAGGGAAAGATCGAGGTAGACCACTGAGTCCCTAAGAGGGACCTCAGAACAGAGAATTCTAACTGAAAGCTACTGACTGAGTGGACCTTCCAAAAGGTCTACTCTTTCCCTCTCAGCCTGTACAGTAACAGGCAACTATGACAATCTGAGTAATTCTTTTACCTAAGTGTTTTCTGTGTCTTGATTTTGCCCCAAATATAAAGAAGCCAAGGATTAGTGGGAAATATATAAAATTTAAATTAATTTAAAAAATTAAACATTCAGAGTTGAACCTCTGAATGTGAGGAATTTCCTAACTGGGTATGGGGCGGGGGACGTCAGAGGTTTTAGAATTAATTGGAATTAGTTTTTTCTTACATAAACTCCATAAATAACAGAGAAAATGGAGATGTGGACCTGAGAGCTAACTGTTGTAACAGGGCATGACTGATGAAATTTCTAGCCTCTTATGTGAGAAAGGAAAGTCTGAGGCAGGATGGAGACAGGTGAGATGGGATACAAGGCCTGAATGTGTTTAGGTACACTCCTTCCTCAAGGCAGGAGACAGCAGAGAGGACTGAATACCTTCCATAGTACACTGGTAGAATTTTAGTACATTGGATCCTACCTAATCTTCATATGAACTCGGAATTCTTTCCTAAAAACTAATATAACAAGAAGATTGGCCAGCGAGTCCAGTCTTTAGGGGCATGTGCAGAGTGCTTGGCTGATGCCATGTTCATGCGGATTTTGGAGCACATGCAGATGTTCTATGATTGGCCCTTCTCTGCTAACCACGTGATAAATCTGGATAGAACCCGGGAGTCTGGAAGACCTCAATGCAGATCTAGCCTCAAACACTTAACCAGCTCTATAACCCCAGGCAAGTCAGTTCACCTATTTGTCTCAGTTATCTCATCTGTAAAATGGGGATAATTATAGTACCTACCTTCCAGAGTTGTCATGAGGAGCAAGTGAGATTATGATCGTAAAGCCCTTAGCACGGTGCCTGGACATAGTAAGCACTAGATAAATGCTATGCCATGCACAGACCACATGTGGAGTATTATGCTCAGTTCTGGTCCCTACATTTTAGAAAGACCGTGAATAAGACGGAGGGAATTGAGAGGAGGGCCCCCAGAATGATGAGGGGTCTTAAGTCCACTCTGTGTTGGTTTAAAGAACTGCGTATATATAGCCTAGAGAAGAGAAGACTTGGGAAGGCGCAAAGGATAGCTCTTTTCATAGGTCCTTTTTCAGAGGACCAGAATGAATGAAAGCGAACTTTAGGCTCAGTGTGTGGGAGCCCCTTCCTGCCAGTGAGCACGATCCCCAAGTGGAAGAAGCTGCCTGGGAACGCAGTGGATTCTCACTCAACAGAGGCCTTCAAGCCAAGGCCAGATGACCACTTGATGAGTGTATCATGGTAGAGATTCTCTTTTCAAGACCAGGTGGAGCTAGATAATGATGGAAATAGCATTTATAGGGCCCTTTGAAGTATATAAAGGTCTTTACAGATATTATCTTGTTTTATCCTCAAAAGAAACCTGGGAGATAGGTGCTATTTATCATTCCCATTTTGCAGATGAGAAAATTGAGGCACAGAGGTGAAGTGATCACTTCTCTAGCAAGATGTGAACTCAAGTCTTCCTGACTGTAGGTCCACCACTCTATCCACTGCACCACCTGGCTGCCTAGATAGTATCTGAGGTTTTGTGCTCTGAGATTCTGAGATGGGAGGATAATTCCAGACTAAGCATGTCAACCAGTGAAGGCTGCGATAGGTGCTGGGATGCAGATGAGGGCCCATTTCCAAAGTGCTTCTTGTCTGACGCGACTCAGATTCTCTAAACTGATGACTCACCTACAAAATGTGGCATAAAATCCATTGTCCAGGAAGTGCATGATTGTCTAAGGAGGTGGGTTTGTCACGTAGCAAGAGAGAGGGATAGCAGATGGATAATGTGTCAGTGCTGCATTTCAGCCCACAGAGTGTTAAAAGATCTAAGGAAGTACCTTCAGTGCACTGGATAGATCTTCTATGGAGTATATAGATAATGATTACCCAGGTTAAGAAGCCATTGATAGGTTGAGATCTGCCATGGTGGAAGGAGTATTCACATTTATGAGATCATGAGGATATTTCACTATGAATCATCTTTGAACAGATAAGTGTCAAGGAGAAAAGATACTAGCATTAGAAAGGCTGAAAAGGATGTTTGTTTCATGCATATGAGTTTCCTCATTAGTGAAGTACATGGTGCAGAAACTTTCAACTTTTCTGATTTGAGTCACTCAAAAATAAATTATGCCCTAAAGTCACTGGGGGGAAAAAAGGTAGCAGCAGAGCTCTAAATGTTTCTTTATCACTAAGATGAAAATTGTGAATTAATATTTTCTTCCTCTGTACCTATGCACTAGGGGTTGAGGGAAGCCTCCACACACCTGAAGTGCTATCCTTCCTCACCTCTGCCTCTTATAACCCTTGCTTTTTTCAGGGCTCAGCCTCCTGTTGCAGGCCTTTTCTGCTCTCTCCAATGGCTAAGGCCTTCCACTCTTAGGTTACCTTCCATAAATTCTGTATATATTTTGTATGTAACTTTATGTATATATGGATCTCCTGTTATCAGGTAAACTCCTTGAGGGTAATGATTATTTTCACTTTTCCTTTGTATATCCATCACTTAGAATAGTGTTTGCAGCACATCATAAATGTTTACAAAATGCTTGTAAGTATTGAAATATTTTGAGTGTACGTCAAATGAGTTGCAAGGAGGAAAGCCTAGAATCAGAAAAGGCTAGTTTAGAAGTTGATGCAGCAATCTAAGAGTGAGACTATGAGAATCCAGACTACAGTAGGGTGCTAGTGGCAATGAAAAAGGGTTGGGTTTTAGATGTAATTCTTCAGAAGAATTCATGTGACTGATTGGATAGAGGGGAAGCAGATGGATGAATCAGAGATGACTTCCAGGGTGGAAGCTAGGTGAAGGGGAAAATAATGATATAAATGATAGTTAGGGAAAACCATGGATGGGGAAGGAATGAGGAAGAGTTCAAACTGGGAATATTGTTTCAAGCAGCAGTAACATGATCCAGTGAAAATGGACAGAGGGACTTTGTGATGTAGAGTTGGCACTCCTGTGAAAACAGATTACACTTTTGGAATCTTCAGCACAGAGAGGAAATTGAACCTCTGGTTTTGGGAGAGCATTCCAAAGAGAGTTTTGTAGTTAGAATAACAAAGCATCAAGGAATGGGTCTTGGGGAATATTAGGAATGATTACAATAATGACAACCACCACCACCAGTTCCGTGGCAAGTTAAGTTTTACAAAGCCCCTTCTCCTCACAGCAACCTGGAGACATAGCAAGCATTATGACTCCCATTGACAGGTAAAGCAACTGAGGCTCTTTACTAGCTGTGTGACCCTGGGCAAGTTACTTAACCCCAATTTACCTTGCCAAAAAAAAAAAAGAACCTGAGGCTCAGAGAGTTTAAGTGACTTGATCCTATAAACTGAGGACTCATCCACAAAATGTGACATAAAATCCATCATCCAGGAAGTATATGATTGTCTAAGGAGGTAATTTAAGTGAGTTGTGAAGGGTCAGGTCACAAAGCATGTTGGAATCAGGATTTGAAACAAAATGTCCTGACTTAGGAAGCTCTTTCCTGCTTTCTCAGTGGAACCCACTAGAGCACATCACCATGGGAATGTTTTCAGAAGGACGTTGAGGAAGATTTCCCTACTCAGCTCAATGACTGAGTTGTAGTTTTCTGGGGTCAACTCAATCCCAAGCTTGGTCAGCCCAAGGAGAACTGAGGCCCAGAACTAAATCTTATGGAACTGAGAGAAGCATGGCGGTGGAGGCAGAAACAGGAACGTTTGAACATGATAGAAATATGTCCACCCCAATCCATCCTTCTCTATATCCCTCAACTCAGTGTTGGGGATGAAGGGTAGAGTGAATTAGCTGTCCTTCCCGATAGAGACCCCAGAGGTGTGGGGAAATTGAAGTACTAAATACTTACAAAATTTGGTGGAAGCCAGATGATTATAACCTGGAGAGAGAAAGAGAGAGAGAGACACCTTGTGAGGAAAATCAAAAACTTGAGGAGAGAAGATTTGGGGCCCGTAGGATCAGGAAGTAGGGGAGTAAAAGTGTCAGAGCTAGTGCTGTTATTAAAGGGAAGAAGATCCAGGTCAGGGATTGGTTGTACACTTCAGGCAGCACAAAAATTTCCTCCTCTCCCAAGATCTCATTGACACCTTAGTCTCTAGCTATGTGCTGGCTTGAGAAATTTTAAGAAAACAGACAGCTTCCCAAGAAGAAGCATGAAAGGAGTCTGGGTCATAACATCCTTGGAAACTGGGTAAGCAAGAGAAAGCAATCTGGGTCTCAAAAAAAGAGAGTGAATTGGAGACACATGTCCCAATCCCTTGAAAGGAGCAACTACAACAAAGAAGTTCATTTGAAGACCTGGGCTACTTACCTGGATGGAGGAATGGATGGATGGATGGATGGATGGATGGATGGATGGATGGATGGATGGATGGATGAAAAAGCATTTATCAGGCACTTACTATGTGCAAAACACTGCACTCACCATTGATGTAGAGACTTTCCTCATCCAGGATGTAGGGCCCTAGTCTCGTGAAGTTCCAGGTCTGGCTGCTCAGCTCCCAGTAAAGCTCTTCTCTGTCTAGCTCAGGGCTGGCAGGATCTATCCGACGAGCACAAGCAAAAAATAACTCCAGTTGCTGTCCCCTCCTTCAAAGGCCTGGAAAAGAAGGCAAAAAAGGGCATCAGAAGCCTGAAGTGGGACCTGAAAAATCTGATAACAATCCTGAAGTCAGCGGGCAGCCACCCTTCAGAAGCCTGAGGCAAATATTGAAACGGATGATGGTTAAATGGGGCAACAGTGTTGCATCTCACTGGGTCTACTCTAGAGAATTTGTGGGGAACTGCCAAAATTCCAAGTCTGAATTCACCTCCCTGAGACTATGTGGCAAGAGGATGTGGATAAATTCATTGAGGAATTGGAAAATCTGCCAGGACCCACATTATAGCAGGCTGGAGACATCTCCTTTCTGAAGGGCACCAATTGGTACCATGCCTGATGAGGCCAATGACTCCCAGGGATCTCACCTCAGCAAGATCAGCTTGCATCCAACGTACTGAGAGCCAAGGGTGGTCTTGGCAAACAAGGAACCAAGCTGGAAGTAAAAGGAGAGAGGGGCCTTCTAGATCAAGCCTCAGTACCCAGGGCTGAGGCAATCAGCTTGGCAGAGGGGACGGAAGGGGGTCGTGTCTCACCAGGCGCTCCAGGGCATTGTCTACAGAATTGAATTTGCTGGAGCCCATTTGGCTCATTCCTGTTGTATATCTCAAGTTTGTGATAGTGAAATTTAGGGTGAAAGTATCAAGGCTGAAGGCTACAAAAAAGAGAGAGAGAGATGTCTGACATGCTGCCTGTGTGTCTTTCAGCACATTCAGGAATGCCCAGGTGGTGGTGTCCTTAGGAGGAAAATTACGTGTCCTGGCCCTATTAATTGCATCCATGAGGGAACCCTCCAAACTTTGCTCAGACACTCCTACCTCTCAACACCATGACAAACACAGGCTACTATATAGAAGGAGAAACATCTCCATGCCTGAACTTCAGAAGTATTAATTCAAATGAGTTAATATCTATAAAGTGTTTTGTGAACCCTAAAGTACTATATAAATGATAGATGATAATAATGTTCACCATCACAATCATCCTTAAGGACACCCAGCTGAAACTATCCTAGTCCTTCTTCCAAGGAAAACTCAGCAGACTGAATTCACTAATGAGTCCTTCAGAACCCTTCAGCCATAAACCTATTCCTCTGGCAACACAATGCAGTGGAAAGAATGTTGGATTTGGAGAAAGAAGGCATAGGTTCCATTCCTAACTGTCCTACTTCCTACCTATGTGACTTTGAGCCTCCATTCTTCTCTGGGCCTAAGTGTCCCCAGCTGCACAAGGAGGGCAGCAGTTAAGACTAGATGACCCGGAAGCTTCCTGCCAGCTCTAAATCTATGATCCTAAGACCTCCTATCTCTCAGTCTTATAGCCAAATGTAGCAAAACTTTCCCAGAGAATGGAAGCAGATCTTACCTGTGGACACTGGTGATGGAGCTGGAGTGCTGATTCTTATCAGTAGACCTGAAGGGAAATATCATGAATGAAAACTGTGGACCAAATGTCCATGTGACAAGGAGGGGTATGCACTGTAAGACACAGGCAAAATGGACTGCATTTGGCTTGGCCACTGAGTCCACTGGTGTAGACTGAATTACCAGGATGAAGGGGACATGGTGCCTTCCTCTCTCTTTTACACCCTTGGTCCATCCTCTTTTTTCCCAGGATGCTAGGAGAACAGGGTTGGGATGGACGAGTGGTTTCTCTGTTTGCTCCCAGGAAAAGAATACTCACAGCTTGCAAAGGAGGAGAGCGTCATCCGATCGCTGTAACCTGCAGAGAGAGAGAACAGCCATGGATGAAAGGGCCTATGATTTTGAGAAAGGATTAAGGAGAAACATGAGACAGAGCATCTGAAGCCAAAAGAGTTGAAAAATATGGGTCATCAGCTAAGAGAGGCTCTTAGGCTTACCTCTGTGAGGCCTCTGCTTTCCCTCAGACTCCAAACACATAATAGGAAGGTACTTTCAGTAAGACAGGTGCCATTGAAGCAAAGCAGGATCCTCATAGGCACAGAAAATTGCTTTGACAGGTGAGGGGCTAACAGGAGTGGGACCAAGCATGGAGGCCAAGGAACTGAATGTCCTGGGCAGGGTTGGAGGCTCACCATTGATGTAGAGGCTCTTCTTCTCCAGGATGTGGGGACCCAGCCTGGTAATTTTACGAGTCTGCTTGCTCAGCTCCCAGTAAATCTTCTTTTTGTCCAGGATAGGAATGGTGAGGAGTTTCCAGTATGTACAAAGGAAATTCACTGCAGTGCCATTCTTCACAGGCCTGAGAAAGGACACAATGATAATGACTGTGATCTATCTGGCTTGCCATAGGCATGCAAAAGTTAGTTGCAGTGACAAGGGACCCTCAATGCTCTGCAAAGTAATTCAGCTTTTTTTTAAGGATAATTTCTTATCCTAAAATTTTTTTTGCTAGACCTTTCATTTTATTAAGGAGCTGGGGGCCGGGGAGGACATAGGCCTTCCTTGACTAACACGGGTCAGCATCTTCCCTGCAACATATAGACTCAGACCATTACCTGGAGAAATTAGATTATTTGCCCAGGGCAACACAGCCAGTCTGTGTCAGAGAGGGGACCTGAACTCAGGTCTTCTTGACTCTGGAGACCTGCTCTCTAACCCACTACAACATGCTGCCTCTACAAGCTTAATTCAATACAACTAATGGAAATACAGGGCATAATTTATCTTTAAACAAAGTCTTTTCAACACATGATAGAGCTTTTCAATCACTTCCTCTCAAGAGTTCCACCAGGATTATTTGTTCATTGATCTCTTTCTCATCTTCTTTTTGCAGGTATATTCAGGGTAAAGTTTGTTTTTCTGATTTTGCTTTTGTTTTTAATTTGTATTTTTTGATAAAGTTCTTTCCATATTTTCTTGTAGCTAAGTGGTACAGATACTTGAATGCCAGGCATGGGAGTTAGGAAAACCTGAGTTCAATCCAGCCTCAAACATTTACTAGTGATGTTGCCCTGGGCAAATCATTCAACCTCTGCCTGTTCGTGTGTCCTCCAGGAGGAAAACAGAGATAATAACAGCACCTACCTCCCAGGGTTGTTGTGAGGATCAAATGAGATACTATTTGTTACACACACATAGGGACATGCAATGCCTGGCACATGGGAGGTGCTTAGCAAATGCTTCTTCCCTCCCTTTCCCTTCCCCATTCAGAGAATCACAGCATTGAGAGCTGGAGGAGCACTCAGGGGTCAGTTAGTCTATCTCATATCTGAAAGAAATAACATCACTTGAGTTCATCTAGGCTACCAAGCGTTCTCATGTGATCTCACTACTTATCTTGGGAATAAATTTCCTGTTAGTCATTTCTGTTCTGTCATTTCTAGTACAAAAACCATCCACCTTGACAGGGAAAACAAGCAAAAAAAAAAATCAAGCTCTTCTGCCTTCTCTTTCTATGGTCAGTCATCATCGAATCCACCCCCAATTAGCAAGCCTATCTCATGATGTTTTTCTTTCCCCAGCACAGTTTTTAAAAGAACCCTCATTTTGTTTGCTTGGCTTCGCATTCCACCTCCAGCTCATTAGAAGCATTAGTCCTCCAGATGCTCCTATTTTTGCACGACTCTGCTATTATTGTAGTCTTCCTGTTACCTCCTCTTCTGAACATACTCCAATACTCAAGTATTTTGCATATATCTTATTTTTTTTGAAATCCAAGCTAGTCGGTTAGCTCCTTGTCCATACACTTCAGTCTCTCCTGACAACTCCCAGTTTTCCTCCTCACTGGAACTGTTTCACCTTCTGTGTCTTCAGAAGTTCATTCTTGAGAGCTTCTTACTGTTCCTCCTATACTAGGGGGCCGAGAACTGGGTCGAATGATGAGCTGTGCAGTTCAGGGGGACAAGCATTCCCTCACAGCCGTGACCTTGATTCATCTTTGAGCTGGAGGGGGTGGAGGCGGGACAGAGGAAGAGAGGAGAGGAGGGAGGGAGAGGGAGAAGGGGGAGAGAAGGAAAGAGAAGGGAAAGAACAAGAGGGAGAAAGTGAGGGGAAGGGGAAAGAGGGAGAGAGAAAGAGAGACAGAGAGAGAGAGAGCGCTATGACAGGAAGAAGTAGGGAGATGGCATCATTAGCCTTGTGCAGAGCTTAATGAGCTGAGCTGGAAAAAACTGGCAACCCAGGAGGAACAGGCAAAAGAAGGAACTGAAAGAAGAGATGAGACATGTCAGAGAAGGGAAAGATCGAGGTAGACCACTGAGTCCCTAAGAGGGACCTCAGAACAGAGAATTCTAACTGAAAGCTACTGACTGAGTGGACCTTCCAAAAGGTCTACTCTTTCCCTCTCAGCCTGTACAGTAACAGGCAACTATGACAATCTGAGTAATTCTTTTACCTAAGTGTTTTCTGTGTCTTGATTTTGCCCCAAATATAAAGAAAGCCGGGGCTTAGTGGGAAATATACAAAATTTAAATTAATTAAAAAACTGAACATTCAGAGTCAAACCTCTGAATGTGAGGAATTTCCTAAAGGGGGGGGTGGGAAGGTCAGAGCTAATTAGAATTAATTGGAATTAGTGACTTTCTTCTTACATAATCTCCATAAAATAGCAGAGAAAAAGGACCATGTGGATCTGAGGGCCATCACCTCATCCCTAAGCTAAAAGTGAGCTAACTGTTGTCACAGGGTATGACTAATGAAATCTCTAGCCTCTTATGTGAGAAAGGAAAGTCTGAGGCAGGATGGAGACAGGTGAGATGGGATACAAGGCCTGAATGTGTTTAGGTACACTCCTTCCACAAGGCAGGAGACAGCAGAGAGGACTGAATACCTTCCATAGTACACCAGTAGAATTTTAGTAGATTGGATCCTACCTAATCTTCATATGAACTCGGAATTCTTTCCTAAAAACTAATATAACAAGAAGATTGGCCAGTGAGTCCAGTCTTTAGGGGCATGTGCAGAGTGCTTGGCTGATGCCATGTTCATGCGGATTTTGGAGCACATGCAGATGTTCTATAATTGGCCCTTCTCTGCTAACCACGTGATGAATCTGATCATTTTTGTCACCTTTACTACATAGTGATGGTCTGTGCTCCAAAGATATTCTGTAATTCTGCAACTGCATCATCAGTGAATGATGTTTCTCCACAAATTCGAGTGTCATCGATTTTCATTATTTCTCCCATTTTCATTATTATTAGTTAATTCTTCAGTATTGTTCAATTTGCATCTCTTTGATTATTAGTGAGGTTGAATGTTTTTCCAAGTGATTATTTACAAGTTATGTTTGATCTTCTGAAAGCTGTCTGTCCATATCCTTTAACCATTTGTCACGCACACGTGTGTGCATATGTGTGTGTGTGTGTGTTGTGTGTGTGTGTGTGTGCACGTAAAATCCTGCTGGTAAAATGCACTTTTGAAATGTCCCAACCATGTCTTTGGGTGAGCTAAGGGCAAAAAGATTCTCCCCACCTGTGTGTACTATTGGCATCTCAAAACATAGACTATCCAAGATGGAACTTGGCACCTCTTCCTTTCCCCCTGCCCCCTCCGCCACAAGCCTGCCTCTCTTCCAAACTTCGCTATTTCTGTTAAACGCGTCACAATCTTCCCAATCACCACGTTTGAAACCTCATAGTCACCCTTATTTCTTCCCTTTATCTCAACTTCCATAACCAGTTTATTGTCTATTGACTTCCACAACATCCTTCACATTTCTTCACTCAAAGGCCCTCATCAACAACCCTCACTTAGATGCTTCTAATAATCCTGATTCTTCTCCTTGCTTACAATCTCTCCATCTCTCCAATCCACCTTTCACACGGCTGCCAAAAGAATCTTATGAAGACACATCTTTTACTATGTCACTCACTCACTTGCTCAAAAACCTCTTGTGGCTCCCTGTTGCTTCTAGAGTTAAATAAAAACTCTGCAGCCTGACCTTTAAAATCCTTCTGAATCTGGCTCACTTAGCGTTCTAACCAGACTGGCTGACTAGCTGTACCTTGAACTCAGATTTGGCATGATTCTTTTGCATGAAATGTCACCCATGCCTGGAATGCACTCCCTCCTCAACATTGCCTCTTAGAATCCTTAGTCTCCCTTCAAAGAAGCCAGCTCAGATTCTCTCTCTCTCTCGTCTTCTCTCTCTCTCTCTCTCTCTCTCTCTCTCTCTCTCCCTCTCTCCCTCTCTCTCTCTCTCTCTCTCTCTCTCTCTCTCTCTCTCTCTCTCTCTCTCTCTCTCTCTCTCTCTCTCTCTCCTCAGATCAGCATGCATTTATCTGTGTGCACATTGCATCGTCTTAGCCCCAGTAGAATGTAAACTCCTTGAGGTCACGGACTACTTTGTCCTTACATTTCATACCTAGCACTGCACTTGGCACCTACTGCATAGCAACTAAATGCTTCTTGAATTAAAGTACGGTCAGACAGCCCCTGGTGATTGGCTGTAGAAGGACTGTAGTCTTCTTGGCTTTGTGGATAAGAAGTGACCATAGGGCCAGTAAAAGGAAGATCTGCACCAGAAACATCTGGCTCCCTGACAACCTGAGCCCATCTCTGTCAGGGTCCTTACCTCAGTGTGGTCAGCTTGCATCCAGAATAGTAGGAGCCAATGCTACCACTTTCAAACAATGGATTGAGCTGAAAAGGAACAGAGAGAGAGAGAATGAGTGAGTCCCTGGACAGATAAGGGCTGGAGTCCCAGAGAGGAGGAAGGCAGGACAGAAATGGAGGAATCTCACCAGGTTCTGTAGGACTTCTTTGGTGTTACTGAAGGTTTTGGTGTCCGGCTGTCCCATCTCTGCTGTGTAGATCAGGTTGCTAATTGTGAAGTCCACAGCGAAAGACTCCATATTAAAGCCACTACCTACTTTGGGGAAAGGAGAGAAACCTTCATGGCTGAGCCTTAGACACAAAGGATCATAGGATTGTAGACTGACACCTGGAATGGACCAACTCACCCAGGGATGCCCAACTGAAGCTGACCTATTGCTTACTGGAAGGAAAACTGACCATTCTGTCTCCAGTTATGCATCTGTGAGAGGACCTCTCTCACTCTCCCTTCCCTCCCTCCACCACCTTCCTCTACAACTCCCATCTCCTCATCTTATAGCCAGCTTCCTAAGGAAACCATTCAATTAAGACAATGCAGGAGACAGGGCAAACACACATGGGATTGGTACCTGAGGAACTGGGTAATTGCGATGGAGCAGAAGAAACTGTTGGAATTGATGTGGACAGGATAGGAACCGAAGGGGGAAAAATCAAGAATGAAAACCTTGGTCAAGCTATATGAATGTCGCAGGAAGATAATGCTCGAGTGGGGGATATGGGGAAAGGGACTGTGCTGGGCTACGTCATTAAACCATCCCATGGAAATTGAGGGTTAAAATGCTGAAAGACCACAGGCCATCCCTTGGCTCCCTCTGTCTCTTCTCTTTCCAGAGTATGGAGTAAATAGGATGGAGAGGAGGATTGTTATAGTCTGTGCTTATCTGGGCTTGATATGCTCCGTGTTTATCTGGGTTAGGAACTTACCTCCTCAACAGGCTTCGGACGTCTCTGGCTCCAGCTGCACTGGAGAAATGACTCCACAGAACACCCCAAGATACTTTCAGAGTATACTCTTTTATTGTTACAACTCTGACTACTAGCGCGGTTCTCGTGGCTAACGCGGCTCTGCGGCTCACGCGGCTCTGCGGCTCTAATGCTCTCCCTCTCTCTCCTTTTCTCTCCTCCTTTCTGCCTCCGGGTACCTCCTTCTTATCCTCTCCCCGTCCACCTTTTTCACGAGCCCTTCCTGCAGTAAGCCAATCATGTCCTGCCCCAAAGCAAAGAGGATTCGTGCTTATTAATCATGTCATGAGCCGTTGCACGTGAGCAACTCAGCTGACCTGAGTATCAGCCAACTTGCCACGTCTGCTCATTTTAGTGACATGTGCAGATCCACCTTAATACTCCCAGGCAATCATGTGCATTCCTGCAGGTAAGGACAGAGTCATCTCACAAATGGCCCTTACAGAGGATCAACTGTTTCTTCCGCCAGTTCATAAACTGATAGAGAAATCAAGTTACTGAATACTCACTGTTTGTTGCTGGGGTGGAGGACTGATGAGTGTAACCTAGAGAGAGACAAAGACAGAGAAAGAGAAAGAGAGGTTAAGTGACTATGACCCAAAGTCACAGGAGTAACAGAGCTGGATTTGAACTCAGGTCCTCTGATTCTAATTCACAACTCTTTCTCTTTGTACCATGCTACCTCTTCCAATTCTGACACTGCATACTGCTTTGCAGTTAATTTCAGGCCCACCATTTAGCCAACACTTTCATCTACATAGAACCTTCTTTTCCCCCACTATCTCTGATTAAAGGGTGTTCAACATGGTCCAGTAGAAAGAATTTTAGACTTGAAGTCACAGGACCTAGGCGATAATCCTGGCTCTAATACTCTCTGTGACCTCCAGATAGATCTCTCTTAACACAGTGCTGGGCAAGTTCCAGATAAGTAGCTGGTCTGGGCAGTTAGGGGGTACAGTGGATAGAATTCTAAGCCTGGGGTCAAGAAGAACTGGCTCAAATTCAGCTCCAGACACTTGCTAGCTGTATTTGGGCAAGTCACTTAACCTCTGTCTACCTCAGTTTCCTTATTCATAATAATAGCACCTATATTCTCCTAGGGTTGCTGTAAGATTTCAATTAGGTAGTAATTGCAAAGTGCTTAGCAAAGTACTTAGCACATATTAGGAGATATATGTGTGTGTTAACTATCATTGATCTGCCCAGTAGTGGTGTAAATGGATTGACAAGAACTCTGGCCCTGGAATGGCCTCAATGCTATGAACAAAGTGCCCAGAGTTCTGTTCACAGCTTCCCAATGGATGTGTACACAGAATCAGAGCACCCCGCTTCTCTGGGATGGTTTGCCTCACAGGCCTCATCTCGGTGGCTTCAGGAGTAGAAGGCCGAGGCAAAATTGGACTGGTCTCAGTCCCTGTGGCTGAAACAGTGGTATGGAAAGAATCAACTGGAGAGGGCCATGATGTTGTCAAGGAGGCGCTGGGATGTTCCCTATAAGCTATTTCTGCTACAGTTGTGTCTGTAGGGAATGTATAGGAAGTTTTCCCAGCTGAGTTGGTCTTTAAGGAACAATGAAGTCTAAGCTGCCTGTGGGTTCTACTGTAGTCAGGGAGAGTGGGATGTTAGTAGTGCCCATGGTGACTTCAGAAGATATCTCGAGCAGAGCTCAGGCTTCTGTGTGGGGGGTGGCATGGTTCTCCTGTGTGTCTCAAGCCTGAGGCCATCAGTTACAGTGGCCACAGTGAGAAGTGGGGGATGAATGAGAGCTATACCTGTAGTTGTCTCCATGGTGACTATCTCTGCTGTTGCAGTGACTGGAACGGAATCTCTCATAGTGGAGCCAGTCATGGGAATACTGGTGGTGCCAGGTTCCAGTGATTCCTTTGTCATGTCCTATATAACCGTGGTCCTTCCTGCTGTTGTGCTCCTGGTGGAGAATCCTGTGACCAGAGCATTTGGCAGGGATATTATCTAAGAGATGATGGGGAGGGTTGGAGTTATTCTGACAGAGATTCCTACTGTTCTCAACAAGACTCCTTCTGTACTCAGCAAATCACCCAACTTCACCATTCACAGTCATTCCTCACAATCCATATGAGTACCCAACCCCTGACAAGCACTTCCATCCTCCAAGTCACTATACCAATGCACTACTACTTTAAGGACAGTGGCCACCTTGAACATTTATTCATAATAGGAAAAGAACATTGCTTAAATGGATCTGGCCTGACACCCAAATTCAAAATAGGATGGGAACCTGGGCTTACAGAGAGTTGTCTGATGGATACTAATCCCAGTATCAAATTAGCAGTTCCTGATACAGACAATGGGCTCTTTTAAATTCACTGTGTCTCCATCTAGCTCTAGTTTTACTGGACCCAGGATGCTTATGACCAGATATTGATTGATACAAGCTCCTATAACTTAAACCTTCTGCTGCTAGGGGTTGGGAGGGTAAGGGTTGGGAGAAGATGCCAACCAGAACAAGGTTTTTTCCTTGCCCTGGGCTGAGAGTTAACCTTGGGGTTAAATGAAATATACAGTCTATGTTACATGTGATTAATACTCTGATTATGTAATAATAAAGATTTATGTTTTCTTTCACACACACACAAAAAAAACCTTAGCAGTTTCTCCAGAGCTTCCATGAACACAATATATTAGCTTGAGAGAAAGTAATGGGGACAGCTCTGTGCAGCTTGATGGCAAACTCCCTTCTGAGGTCTGACTTTCTCAAACTATGGAGATAATTCCCATCTATCATCTATGAAGATCAGGAAAACAAGGGCCTAAGAATGATGAACCCCCCAGAAGAACAGGCAGAAATGAGGCTTCTACTTACTTGTGGGACTGCCAGAAGACGAAGCCACCAGGGAGTCACTTGCAGTGACTCCTGTGGCTCCTTGGCCTGGCATGTGTGTGATGGCCACCACACTAGTCTCACCACCTGTAAGAATGAATGGTGGATTAAATTGGGTAATGGTTGAACAAGTTGTGGCATATGATTGGTGGTGCAATGGATAGAGCACTGAGCTTGGAATCAGAAAGACTCATCTGAATGGGTTCAAATGCAGTCTCAGACACAACTGTGTGACCCAGGAGCCAATGAACTCTGTCTGCTTCAGTTTATCACCTGTAAAATGAGCTGGAGAAGGAAATAGCAAACCACTCTTTGCCAAGAAAACCCCAAAAGTAGTCATGAAGAGCTGGATATCACTGGAAAATGACTCAACAGCAACATCCTGATGAGCAGGATGGTTTCAGAAATATCTGGGAAGACTTATAAAACCTGCTGCAAACTGAGGTGAGCGGAACCAAGAGAACGCTGGAGACAGGAACAGCAATATTGAAATGATGATCAGCTGTGGAAAGGCTTAACTACTCTGATCAATAATCCAAGAGAACTTCAAAGGATTCAGAATGAAAAATGCCATCTACTTCCAAAGAGAGAACTGATGAACTCTTGAGTGCTGACTGAGGCATGCTTTTTGCCACTTCATTTTTCTTGCTTTTTTGCAACATGGCTAATATATAGAAATGTGCTTTGCATGACTTCATGTGTATATAATAAGTATCATATCTCTTGGGTGGGGGACAGGCTGAAAGGAGGGAGAGGATTTGGAACTCAAAACTTAAAAATGAATGTTGAAAGAATGGATGGATCTACCACGTGAAGCACTATGAAAAATATGTTGTCCTTATATGTACTTTTTGAAAATTCCCAAATTGTACTTTTCTGTTCCTTCTTCCCACATACTAGCTGCAGAAAACTCCACTGCCAAAGTCCTTTCTCACCATTGCGCAGTCCTGACATTTGTTAGAATCATTGAAAATGTCAGCATTTCACCAAAAAAAAAAAAAAAGGAAAGTGAACTTAGCATAAGGGCCACTCGGATTTTACTAGAAGAGAGTGAACAGGGTTGTCTTGACCACTGAAGTCCAAAAATGGCTCAAAATAGAGGTCCAAAGAAAGAAATGGCAACAAAAGGAGATTCTTGTGGCAAGTGGAGAGAGTGCTGGATCAGGAATCAGAAAGGTCTGAGTTCATCCAAATACAGCCTCAGATACTTACTAGATTAAGTTGACCCTGGAAGGGTCAACTTAATCTATGTCTGCTTCAGTTTTCTCACCTATAAAATGGGGATAAGGGAAAGCTAGGTGGTGCAGTGGATAGAGCACCAGCCCTAGAGTCAGAAGAACCTGTGTTCAAATGTGGCCTCAGACACTTGACACTTACTAGCTGTGTGACCCTGGACGAGTCACTTAACCCCATTGCCTCACCAAAAAAAAAAAAAAGAAAAAAAAGAAAAAGGAATATGACACTGGCCTCTCAGAGAATTTCTCAATAATGTATAGCATCAGAAGGAAGAGAACTTTCTCACAGATGAAAGTTTTGAAGTCATGCCAAGAGAGACCAGAATATCTTGATCTTGCTAACCCTCCATGACATTTCTGTGAGTTGTTCAGATGGTGCTGGTCTGAGATAGATGTGAAATATTTGTTCAGCAGTCCCACAAAGGTTCTTTACCTTCAGAAGGGCCTCTAAATGTATCTAAAGCTCTACTTAAGTGATCCATCCTTACGTATTTGTTCATGGTATCAGTTGTGGGGGGCAGGGAAGCCCTTTGCATTTTAGGCATTTTCTGTGGTGGAGGAAGGAAAGGCTATTGCATACTTGATACTCATATTGTACATTGAGTGCCTGGGTAGGGGTACATACTATTGCTCACTTTTGCAGAAATCTAAACATGAACCACTTTTGTGGTTGTTATTCAATTGTTTCAATCATGTCTGACTCTTTGTGACCCCATTTGGGGTTCTCTTGACAGAGGTACTGGAGTGGTTCCCTGTGAAGCTAAAATGAGATAATATTTATAAAGAAGTCTTCAGGGGCAGCTAAGTGGTGCAGTGGAGAGAGCACCGGCTCTGAAATCAGGAGGAGCTGAGTTCAAATCCGGTCTTAGACCAAACACTTGACACTAGCTGTGTGACCCTGGGCAACTCAACCCCAATTGCCTAAAAAAAAAAAATAACGAAAAAACCCCAAAACTCTTCAAATCTTAAATGCTAACTATATTATTATCATCATCATTAACCCAGACGTAATTCTTCTTTCCTTGATCCACCCATATCTTCCAAGGTCACATCAATACCCTTTAATGAGGTTTAATTAAAATTCTACTTATTGAGCACCAGCCCTGAAGTCAGGAGGACCTGAGTTCAAATCTGGCCTCAGACCAAACATTTGACACTAGCTGTGTGACCTTGGGCAAGTCACTTAACCCCAGCTGCCTAAAAAAAAAGTCTACTTACTTATGAAAAACGTTTTAAGTAGAGGTTTAAGTAGAAGTCTACTTACATATAAAAACATAGAACTCGTAGTTTCGTGGGCTATACTACGTATGGGATTGGGTAGGTGAGGGAAGTAGGGAGGTTGTAATTTCAAGAAAGGTCCAACCAAAGTGGTAAAGCAACTGACTGGTAGAGCTTATTTATACTTGTGTTGAGGGACTATTGCTAGGCAAAGGACTATGACCCAGTTCTGTTTATACAAACATTCTAACCACTGCTAAGGGAGAGCTTAAAGTCCCAGGCAGTACTGGCCTTCAGGGCAAATTAGTACTTGGACCCTGAGAAGACAGTTGAGTACCTATCCCTGGTGCTGACGCAGTGACTTCAGGTGGCTCTGTGGAAATGGAGGTGGCAGCTGAGCTAATGCCTATTCCCCAGTGATTTTTCTGTTAGCAGTGTTTGGTTAGAGCTTACTACTAGGTCAAGACTAGTGGTGTGTGTCCTGGGGCTTTCTTTTTTTTTCTTCTTCTTTTTCTTTTTTTTAATATAAATTTATTTATTTTTAGTTTTCAGCATTCCCTTCCACAAGTTTTTGAGTTCCAAATTTTCACCCCATCTCCCCCCTCCCCCCACCCCAAGATGGCATGCATTCTGAATATCCCTTCCCCTACTCTGTCCTCTCTTCTTTCTCTCTCCCCTTCTCTTATCCCCTTCCCCTTCTATTTTCCTGTAGGGCAGGATAGACTTCTGTACCCCATTTCCTATATTTATTTCCCAGTAGCATGTGAAAACATTTTTTTTAAACATATGTTTTTAAAACTTTAGGTTTCAAATTTTCTCTCTTCCTCCCTCCCCACCCACCCTCATTGAAAAGGCAAGCAACTCAATATAAGTTGTACATGTGCAGTTATGCAAAACACGTCCATAGTAGACATGTTGTGAAAAACTAACTCTATTTCCCTTAATCCTATCCTGCCCTCCCATTTATTCTATTCTTTCTTTTGATCCTGTCTTTCCTCAGAAGTATTTACTTCTGATTAACCCCTTTCCCAATCTGCCCTCCTCTCTATCATCCCCCTGCTCTCTTGTCCCCTTTCCCCCCTATTTTCCTGTAGGGTAAGACAGATTTCCATACCCAATTGAATGTGTATGTTATTCCCTCCTTAAGCCAAATCCTGTGAGAATAAGATTCACTCATTCCCTCTCACCTTCCCCTGTTTCCCCTTCCACTGTAAGAGACTTTTCTGTTGGTTTTTTTTGTGAGATAATTTACCCCATTCTACCTCTCCCTTTTTTCTTTTCCAAATATAATCCTCTCTCATCCCTTCATTTTATTCTCCAGATATGACCCCTTAATCTTCAACTCACCCTGTGCCCTCTATCTATCTATCTATATATACATACATATAATTTTTTTTCCTCCAACTACCCTGATACTGACAAAGGTCTCATGAGTTATAAATATCATCTTTCCATGCAGGAATGTAAACAGTTCAATCTTAATAAGTCTCTTATGATTTCTCTTTCCTGTTTACCTCTGCATGTTCCACTTGAGTCCTATATATTTGAAAGTCAAATTTTCTATTCAGCTCTGGTCTTTTCATCAGGAATGCTTGAAAGTCCTCTAGTTCACTGAATGACCATTTTTTCCCCTGAAGGATTATACTCAGTTTTGCTGGGTAGGTGATTCTTGGTTGTAATCCTATCTCCTTTGCCCTCCACAATATTATATTCCATGCCCTATGGTCCTTTAATGTAGAAGCTGCTAAATCTTGTGTTATCCTGATTGTGTTCCCACAGTACTTGAACTGTTTCCTTCTGGCAGCTTGTAATATTTTCTCCTTGACCTGGGAACTCTGGAATTTGGCTATAATATTCCTAGGAGTTTTCCTTTGGGGATCTCTTTCAGGAGGAGATCTGTGGATTCTTTCAATGTCTATTTTGCCCTCTGGTTCTAATATATCACTGCAGTTTTCCTTGATAATTTCTTGAAAGATGATGTCTAGGCTCTTTTTTTTGATCATCGCTTTCAGATAGTCCAATAATTTTTAAATTCTCTCTCCTGGATCTATTTTCCAGGTCAGTTGTTTTTCCAATGAGATATTTCACACTGTTTTCTAATTTTTCATTCTTTTGGATTTGTTCTACTGTGTCATGATTTCTCATAAAGTCACTATCTTCCAATTGCTCTATTCTAATTTTTAAGGAAGCATTTTCTTCAGTAAGCTTTTGGACTTCCTTTTCCATCTGGCCAATTTTGCTTTTTAGGTCATTTTTCTCCTCATTGGCTTTTTGGACCTCTTTTGCCATTTGGGTTAGGCTATTTTTTAAGGTGTTATTTTCTTCAGTATTTTTTTGGGTCTCCTTTAGCATCACTCTCAGTTTTTCCTCTACTTCTCTAACTTGCTTCTCAAAATCGTTTTTGAGCTCTTCCATGGCCTGGGACTGATTCATATTTTTCTTGGAGGCTTTGGATGCAGGGGCTTTGACTTTGTTGTCTTCTTCTGGTTGTAGATTTTGGTCTTCTTTTTCACCAAAGTAAGATAATATAGTCTGACCCTTTTTACCCTGCTTGCTCATGATCCCGGCCAATTACTTGAGTTTTAAACTCTTTGTTAAAGTATGAATCTGCTTCCAATGTGGAGAATGTATTGTCCCAAGCTTCAGGGGTTTGTACAGCTGTTTTCAGAGATACTTGTAGGGACCTGTAAATTTTCAGTTCTTCCAAGGTGGTATGATAAGGGGCAAGGTGTTTACTCCTTTCCTGGCCTGCCACTACAAGTACTCCTTTCTGTCCTGTAACTGTGAGGAGGGGCTTCTCTCCACAATCACTACAAGCTCCACCAAGCCAGCGTTCCTCCTCACCCCAGCACTGCCGCCCAGAACTGTGACCCAGATCCAAACATGGGCAAAGGAAGAGATTCCTGCCTCAGCACTGGCAAAGAGATCCCTGCAGTCCCTCTCTGATCAGCCACTGGATGCCCCCTCAGTCTGTGGACCAGAAGCTCGGGAAGCAGCTGCCCCCCCACAGGGCCACGCTCTTGGGGAATGGAGCTGAAACCCTGCCTTCCTTTCTCAGGCACCGACAGAAACAGACTTTTCCCACTGACCTTCTAATTTGTCTTTGGCATTGGTGGATTGAGGAATTTGGAAACCTCCACAACTGCCCGATATTCAGTCCTCTGAGGCCTGCTCCAGCTTTGCTGCAGCCTGCGTGCCCACGCCGCGGCCTGTGCACCCAAGCTGCACTGCGCTGTGCTCCCAGCCCGGTGCGACACACCTTTCTGATCAATCATCCACGTTGTCTTGGGCTGGAAATTTGTTTCACTCTCTCTTTTTGTGGGTTCTGCTGCTTCAGAATTTGTTTAAAGCCATTTTTTATGAGTATTTGGAGGGGTTTGGAGGAGAGCTCAAGCAAGTCACTGCTTTCACTCTGCCATCTTGGCTTCGCCCCCTCCTGGGGCTTTCTAATGGAGGGGATGAGATAAGGTTTCCATGATGGAGAGAGTGCCTATGGAAGCCTGGGTCTCCCCTAGTCCTGGGGTTAGAGTAAGAGCTGTTAATGGGCTCTGCTCCAGGGACTTCATCTGTAGTAAGAGACAATAAAGATTCCATGTCGCTCCCCTGTAAAATTTGAGTGATCACTAGACTTTGAGTCTCAGATAGCTCAGCCCAGGTCATAGCAGCCAGACTTGTACCTGATCCAACATGGATAGGAGTCACTGTGGCGACCATGGGCCACCTGGATGGAAGAGCTTTTCTCTCTGGGAGTCTGAACCTCAGAACTTACTCAAATCTCTCCTAAACTAAAACTAGGAGAAACTGAAGGTCTCACTCCAGTTTTGCTGCTGAATCTTGGAAGAACTGCAGAGATGTCTCTAGTCATCTTGACTGCTAAACCAATGCTGGCCTCTATGACTAAGGTGGTTAGGGAGAGCTCTGAGGTTTTCTCTGGCCTACATGTGGGATACCATTAGCCATTTTCTCTAGGAGAATCAAGCCAGCAGAGGTGACCGATGAGCCTCTAGGAGTGCTGTCTGACAACACTGGAGCTTTAGGAGAGGAAGTGGTCAGTGTGGCATCTGTGCCACTCTCTGCCACCATACTTGGGAGCTCAGGGCTAAGAGTGACCTATGGGAAAGACAGACAATGTGATTTTAGTGCCGAGGGTCAGACTTGTGGTTATAGACAGAAGGACAGCTGAGCTCGTCCTCAGCCTTAAAGGTAACCCCAGATGAAGTTATTTGAGTTGAAGGAGACACTGTTCTTGACCATGTAGGGAGTGGTATCTGCCCCACTGATGGTGAGAGCTGTGGCTTTGGCTAAGATTGAGGACCAGGGAACGTCCTATTCTTGTTCTAGATAGCCCCAGAGATCCTGGTGATGGAGACAACAGGTGCTAGTGTGGTTAATACCAAGAACAAGTCTGTTCCAGGCCTAGTCTCTGTAGTACCTGGGGTGTGGGAAGGAGTGGTGTAGACAGCTGGCTCTGGGCTAGACTCTCCCACAGGACTTGACACAAGGTTAGCTGTGCTCTCAGCAGGACGAAACTTCCCTGGTCTGAGTGTACTTGTATCTGATGCTGTAGGGCTACCTGGTCTGCTGGTCTCCTGCACTGGGGGGCTGGTGGAGGCCAAACTGCTTTGTAATTTTTCACTGTGCTTGGTTCTAAATTCAGTCATTGGTGTGACAGAGGGAGTGCCCCCCTTCGGAGGTGTGGACTCTGTGGGCCCTGGGGTAGGAGGTAGAGCTGGGCTTGTCTGAGCTCTAGTTATGCCAATGCTTGTCATGCTCACCAAAGAGGTCGAGGGGACAGTCCTGGAGTAGCTGGTTCCTTCAGTTAGGCTGGCAGAGAAGATGTGGAAGCCCTGTCAGGCCAGAGAGTTACTCCTGTGCTTGGGGAGTACTTGTGTTCTCTGTAAGTGCTTGCAGAGGCATCTGTGTTCTCTGGGAAGGTGCTGGAAACAGTTTGACCTTCTGGTCCTTCTGTAGGCACCAACAAAGTGCTTGTGTCTCCTCCAGCAGATGTTGGGATGATGCTGGGAGCGGCAGTGGAGGACAGGGTAGCTGAGCCTGGCTCCATTCCTGTCTGAGCATCCTGCTTCTCTGGTGTGGTCTCTCTCAAAGGCAGCTCTGGGCTCGGCCTGGCTTCTGTAGCACTGATGGCTGTAGGAGTTGAGGACAGGGGCAAAATGGAGCTGATTCCCATTTCTGAAGCTGAGACAGCAGTATGAAAAGAATCAATTGGAGTGGGCCATGGAGTCAGGGTGGTGCTGGGACTCTCCCTAAGGGATGTTTCTGATACAGGTGTGTCTGCAGGGAATGTAGAAGAAATTGTCCCAGCTGGGCTGATCTTTAAGGGACCACTGGAGCCTGTGCTGGCTGTGGGCTCTGCTGGAGTCATGGAGAATGTGGGGCTTGCCATGCCCATAGTGACTCCAGAAGACGTTTCAGGTGGAGTTGAGGCTTCTATGGGAGAGAACATGGTTCTCCTGTGTGTCTGAGGCCTAAGTCCACTTGTTACAGTGAGGAGGGGGGGCCTGAGTGGTTGTCATACCTGGCAGAGTCTCCAGAGTCTCTGTTGCAATGTCTAAAATGGAATCTCTCGCAGTAGAGCCAGTCATGGGCATGCTGGTGGGCTCTGTTGAATCTCTTTCCAGGGAAGAAAAATTTTAAACTCAAAAGCATATGAGAGTGATTATTGGTAAATCAAAATAAATTAATAAAATTTAAAAAAAAAAATAAATATACAAAATCCCCCAGTAGCTCTTCATCCAAAAGCTGTTATCACAACATACTTCAAGGCAGAAATTAATGTGGCAGATGAAGCTGCCAGGTCTTGCAATCTAATTGCAAATTACCCCATCAGTGTCCTGTTCTCATACTGTGAAGATGAGTCCATATCTTGTCTCAGAGCTGAGAGACAAGGACCCAGGAAGGGTGAATCCCAGCCCAGGAGAAAGAGAAGAGGCATTTACTTACCCATAGGACTGACAGTGGAGTCAGGTGTCAGGGGCCCACTAGTCAGTACTGCCATGCCTCCTGGTGCTCCATGGTCTGGGCCATGTGTGACAGGCACTACACCAACCTCACTACCTGTAGGAACAAATGAGTGCACATGTCACAGCCTGGGAGGGCAGAAAGGATGATATATTACCTCCACATGGTCTGACTGTAAACTTCCAAAATGTGGCTTTCTTTATTTCCTCCTTCACACAGCAGAATGTTCCTCTGTTATCCCACTCTCACTTATCTTAAATCTCTGCTTGTCTCCTGGCTGCTTCCCTACTACCCCATCTGCAAAAAACAAAAACAAAAAACCCTTCACTTTTTCCCTCTGTCCCTGATTATTTCTTCTCTCTCCTCCCTTTTGTGGTCAGAGTCCTTAAGATAGCTATCCACAAAAAGTGTTTCCATTTCCCTTCCTCTCACTCTCTCTTTAACTCTACAGTCTTGTTTTCAACCTCATCATGAAACTGAAATTGTCCCCTCTAATGTTACTAACTATTAGGGATCTATAAGGATGGAGAGGGCCACAGGCTGTTCAAGAGGTCTCACTGATGGGTGAAGGCCCCTCTCGGGTGCTGATCTTTGAGCAAAGGTCGCCTGGTTCGGTGCTCCATTGTATGGATCTGTAACAATCTTTAACTCCCCTAGTTATTGTATGGTCATTAGCAGTCTGTTCTGGGATTGGAGTCAGTTAAGTGCACGCATGCACTGTCCTCAGCACAGCATGGGCTAGACGTCATTGTAACTTGAGAAACAGTTCCTGTTATTTTACTATATATGTAAGTGCTTTGCTAAAAATAAACGGAGTTGCTTCCACCTTGTCTCCCGCCTCATCAATGTGCATTCGAGATAGAAGGTTAAGCTGGCCTTATCCCTTCAAAGTTAGTATAGGATCCTGGCACTAGTGGAGAGCTGACTGAGTTGTGTACAACAACTAACAATCTCTGAATTGCCAAAATGAACAGCCTTTTCTCAATCCTCATTCTTCTTAATCTCCCAGCAGCCTTTGATTCCATTACCCTACTCTCATGGTTCTCCTCCTAAACATCTGATTCCTGTCTCTGTCTCTTTTGCTGGATCCTCACCTAATCCACAAATGCTATTTGTGGTGCCCTACATTAGAGCTCTGAGTTGGGCTCTCTTCTCTTTCTTCTCTATGAGTTTTAACTCAGTGATCTCATAAGCTCCCGTGAATTCAATTCTCATCTCCATATTGATGATTCTCAAATCTACTTATACACCCTTAAGCTCTCTGGTGATCTCCAGTATCACAACTCCTATTGGACGGTTGCCTGTCAGAAATCTTGAACCGTCTGTCTTGTAAACATCTTAAACTCAGCATGTCCAAAACTTAACTCATTGTCTTTCCCAAAAAACCTTCATCTCTTCTTAATTTCCCTAGGGCTGTTCAGGGTATCACCACCTTCCCAATCACCCCGGCTTACAACTCAGGAGGTCATTCTTAACTACTCACCCTCTCCCCCACAAATCCAATCTGTTGACAAGGTCTATAGATTTTACTTTGATAATATCTCTCCTATATGCTCTCATCATCTCATGCCTGGACTATTGCAGTAGCCTTCTGGTTGGTTTTCCTGTCATAAGACTCTTCCCACTCCAGTCCATTCTCCACTCAGCCACCAAAGTGATTTTCCTACAGCCCAGGTCTGACCATGTCATTGTCCTATTCAATAAACTCCAATGGCTTCCTATTACCTCAAGCATCAAATATAAAACCCTACCATATAGCAAAAAACAAAGTCAGAATGGGTATACGGTTTAGATATAAAGGCTGATACTATAAGCAGACTGGGAGAGCAAGAAATAGTTTATCTGTCAGATTTATGGAGAATAGAAGGATTTATGACCAAACAAGAGATAGAGAACATTATGAAATGCAAAGTGGGTAATTTTGATTACCTTAAATTGAATTGGAACATTAAATTGCACAAACAAAACCAATGCAACCAAGATTAGGAAGGAAGCAGAAAACTGTAAAGAATTTTTACAACCAGTGTCTCTGATAATGGCCTCATTTCTAAAATATATAGAGAATTCAGTCAAATTTATAAAATACAAGTCATTCCCCAATTGACACATGGTCAAAGGATGTGAACAGGCAGTTCTCAGATGAAGAAATTAAATCTACAGTCATATGAAAGAAATGCTCTAAATCGCTATTGATTAGAGAAATGCAAATGAAAACAACTCTGAGGGACCACATCACGCCTATCAGATTGCTGAACATGACAAAACAAGAATATGAAAAAGGCTGGAGAAGATGTGGGAAAATTGAAACATTAATGCATCACTGGTGGAGATGTGAACTGATCCAATTTGGAACTATGCCCAAAGGGCTACAAACATGTGTGTATCCTTTGACCTAGCAATAGCACTTCAAGGGCTGTATCGCAAAGAGATCATAAAATTAAGGAAAGGACACACATGTACAAAAATATAGCAGTTTTTTCTGTGGTGGCAAAGAATTGGAAATTGATGGGATGCCCATCAGATGGGGAATGGCTGAACAAGTTGTGGTATATGAACGTAATGGAATACTTTTGTGCTATAAGAAATGATGAGCAGGCAGACTTCACAAAAATCTGGAAAGGCTCGTATGGACTGATGCTGAGTGAAGTGAACAGAACCAGGACAATGTTGTACACAGTAACAGCCACATTGTTTGATGATTAACTTTTGATAGACTTAGCTCTTCTCAGCAATGCAAGGATCTAAGACATCTCCAAAATTCTCATGATGGAAAATGCTATCCACATTGAAAGAAAGAACTATGGAGTCTGAATGCATACTATTTGCTCTTTTTTTTCTTCTGTTTTGTTTTCTTTCTTCTTTCATGTGGTTCCTCCTATTGGTTCTATTCTTCTTTACAACATAACTAATGTGAAAATATGCTTAATAGGAATGTATGTGTAGAGCCTATATCAGATGGCATGCCGTCTTCGGGAGGGAGGGGGAGAAAATTTAAAACTCAAAAGCTTATGGAAGTGAATTGAAAACTAAAACTAAATTAATAAAAAATATATATACAAAATCCTGTTTGGCATTCAAAACCCTTCATAACCTGACTCTTCTTTTCTTTTCTAATCTGCTTGCACTTTACATTTCCCTTCCCCTCAATGACACTGGCCTTCTTGCGATTCCTTGTACTTGTCTCACTACCTACCAACTCAGAACATTTTCACTGGCTGTCTCCCATCCCTACATATCTTTCTCTCCTTGTTTTTCTGACTTCCTTCAAGTCCTTGCTAAGACCCGAACTTCCTATAGAAGGATCCCTTCCTGTCTATAGGAGGGTGGGATCTTAATAGGATGACCTCCTTAATTTTTAAGTGACCCCCCTTAATTCTAGTGTTCTCCCTTTGTTGATTATCTACAACTTATCTTGTATTTAGTTCAATCCTCCCACAGTGCTGGCTGTGAGGCCAGCTGTCAGTTCATCAAGAGAGACATTCCTGATACGATTTTGCTGGGCTCTGAAAGAGCTGCACTGGCTAGTGACTTCTCACACTAAGGTGCTGGTGGAGAAGGCAAAACCACTGTTGAGCTGTGCACTGTCCCTGGTGCTGAGTTCAGCCACTAGTACAAAAGAGACACTACCCCACTCAGGAGGTGTGGGCTCTGTGGGTTTAGTTACAAGAGGTACAGGTGGGCTTCTCTGAGCTCCAGTCATACTTCCCTACAGAGGGTGAAGGGACAGTCCTGGAGTAGCTGGTCCCTTCACTTAGGCTGGGCAGAGAAGAGGTGGAGGTCTTATCAGGCCAAAAAAGTTACTCCTGGGCCTGTGGACTGCATGTGCTCTCTGAGTGATTCTGGGGATATCTTATGGTCTCCAGGAAGGGGATGAACACTATTTTACCCTCCCTTGACCTTTCTGCAGACACCAAGAAAATGCTTGTGTCTCTTCCAGCAGATGTTGGGATGATGCTAGGGGCAGCAGTGGAGGGCAGGGCAGCTGACCCTGGCTCCCTTACTGTTTAGGGGCAGGCATCCTGCTTCCCTCAGGTGATTCACCTCATAGGCAAACCTGGGCTTGGCCCAATTTCTGCAGCATTGATGGCTGTAGGAGTTGAGGATAGAGACCAAATGGGGCTGACTTCAATTCCAGTAATTCAGACAGTGGTATGGGAAGAATCAACTGGAGTGTACTCTGGAGTAAAGAAGGTGCTGAGACTCTCTCTAAGGGATATTTCTGATAATACAGGTGTGTCTTCAGGGAATGTAGAAGAAATTGTCCCAGCTGGGTTGATCTTTAAGGGACCACTGGAGCTTGTACTGGCTGTAGGCTCTACTGGAGTCACAGAAAGTGCAAGGCTTACAGTGCCCATGGTAACTCCAAGAGATGCTTTAGGTAGAGCTGAGGCTTCTGTAGGAGAGTACATGGTTCTCCTGTGTGTCTGAGGCCTAAGTCCACTTGTTACAGTAGGCACAGTGAGAAGGTGGGGGCTTGAATGGTTGTTGAACTTCGAGTGGTCTCCATGATGACTATCTCTGTTGCAGTGTCTGAAATGGAATCTCTCACAGTAGACCCAGTCATGGGCATGCTGGTGGACTCTGCTGAGTCTCTTTCCAGGTCAGATCCACTCACATTATCCAGTGTCACCACGTTGCTGGTGGAGAATCCTGTGACCATAGCAGTTAAATAAAGTGTGCCTAAGAGTTGATGAGGGAAGTGTGGCGTCATTTGGGAAGATTCCTATTGCCTCTTAGTAGGGCTCCTTCTGTATTGAAGAATATTTTCTGTGGTGGCAAAGAATTGGAAATTGAGGGGATGCCCATCAAATGGGGAATGGCTGAACAAGGCATGGTATATGAATGTAATAGTGCTATAAGAAATGATGAGCAGTCTGACTTCAGAAAAACCTGGAAAGACTGTATGTTCTGATGCTGAGTGAAGTGAGCAGAGCCAGGAGAACATTGTACACAGTAACAGCCACATTGTGCAATGACTAACTTTGATGGACTTAGCTCTTCTCATCAATGCAAGGATCTAAGACATCTTCAAAAGTCCCCTGAGGGAAAATGCTATCCACACTCAAGAAAGAACTACGGAGTTTGAATGCAGATAA